ATCATGAAGGTCTGGAGGAATTGCTCTGCAGTTAAGAGCACAGACTGTTCCTGCAGATGACCCATGTTTGGTTCCCAGCACCTAGGTTGGTTGCTTCACAAGTGTTTGCAACCCCAGCCCTGAAAGATGCAATGCCCTCTTGTGTCTTCCCACACTCACATATACATACCCACAGACAGGCACACAAAATTTTTAAAATTTTGGGCAAGTTAAAAGCAAATATTCTTCCAGAGGACCTGAATTCAGGTCCCAGCATGCATATCAAGGGGTTCATGATCATTTTCTTTCTTTTTTGTTTTGTAGTGTGGGTGACTACTTCAAGGTAAAATTAGTTTAGTACTTTGTAAGAGATTAGCTTTCGCTCTTCCAGTAGAATCATTTAATCTGTTGGTGACAACAGTAAACAATGTTCACCTCTGTCTCAATTACACAGGCACCTGGGGGCCAGCACAGCAGTTTCACTTCATTCTTTTATTCTTGTTTGTTTGTTCTACAGTGTAGCCCTGGCTGTCCTGGAACTCACTTTGTAGACCAGGTTGGCCTTGAACTCAGAGATCCACCCACCTCTGCCTCCCAAATACTGAAAGAACTGAGAGAGAAAGGAACAAGCCATAGCCAACTCTTATCTTGCTAACTCTTATCTTGCTAACTCTTCAGCCAAGTGACTGTCTGCTCCTGCCTTATATTCCTCTCTCCACCCAACCACATCATTTCCTGTCTGTCTGTACAGACCTCCAGACCTCTATGATTAATTAGTGGCAAGCTCTACCCTCTGATCTTCAGGCAAATTTTTATTTGTTAGAGTACAAACAAGATATCACTACATTTCCCCATTTTTGTCTAAAATTTAAAGAAGTTATAAAATAAGAAAAACTGTATACAGTAAGTGCAATAACTATATATATAATATATAGGCAATAAATACATCAACATCTAGTCCACTAGCAATTGACAAATTCAAAGGAAGTATTCAATATCCATCCTATCTTGATAAGTCCAAAAGGTTTACCTAATTCACTTTCTATTCTAATTTGCTTTACCAAAATTATCTTTTCACGTCTTCCAATCTTATACACGTCACACCTCTTTAGTGAATTTCGCTTCTGAATCTGGTAACAAGGAAGACTATAACTATAAAAAGTCTTCAACTCTATCAGAGACCTGAGAAGGAAATAATATTACCCGAGTAAGCAGGAAGTAAGTAAGTAAGAATCAAGCAACTTCCAAAAAAAAAAAAAAACAAACAAAAAAAAAAACCGTGAGAAATGACAGAAATAGCTGGCTTCCTGGACAGTGACCCAAGGTTCCTCTCCAATTTTGGGGCATCCATATTCAGCCTATAGGCTTAGCATATGTGATAGGCTTTCCTGTGAAGCAGGGTATTCTGAAGGGCTGTCCTGCCTTGTCCATACAAAGTTTGGCAGTCCTTTCTTTTGTGTCCTGCTTGTCCAATTTGTACAGCATACAGTCAGCAGTTGAGACAAGAACACTTTCTTGCCCAGTGGCTAACTTTGGTCACAGAAAAAGTAAACTCCGAATGGAGTTTCTTCAATACTCCATATGGAGTTTTTTCTCCAAAGTAGATGAGTGCTGCAGAAGCAGGCAGGTCTCATTGTCATAAAAAAAAAAAAGAACGTACTATTTTTTTTTTTAAAAAAAAAACATCTTAAATGCTATATTCTGCAGGTCTCTGAAGTATTTGAGGATGACCTGTCTATCTAAAGTATATCTCTAACCTTAAAAACATACCTAATATGACTACAAGTAATAGGTGACTAATTGCTAACCTGCATTTTCCTATTATCCTAAATAGTTGATAATAATAACTTTTAAGAATTAAAAATTGCATTACATTGTTAAATGAGTTGCATAGGTATAATACCTTGAAAAGGATTAGAAATGTATATATGGCATGTTCTAACAAAAATAATCTTAAATTTGTATCAATATACAAAAATCTATATTGATGTAAAATATTTAAAACTAGTAGGTTTTTTTTTGTTTAAAAATAGATTCAATATTCTACCTTCTTATCCTATTTATATGTGTCTCCTTTTTCTTTTCAGAGTAGAGTTAATAATCTACTCATACAGTCTATCCCTTTTTTCCTTTCTTTTTCAAAACAAGAACCCTGAAACTCATTTCCTTTGTTCAGCTTTTTTTCCTGATCATTACCAATAACAACTTGTAACTAACCACCTTAAACAATAACAAATATCCAAAATCCACTGAATGACCAAAAATTACCCACCCTACCTCTTGGGAATGTGGGCATTGTGTTCTTAAATTTACTTCCTGCTATCTGGGAGTAAAGGCATCTTTAGGGGATTCTGAAAAGAAAAGATTGGATTAATTGTCAAATTCTGGGAGAGGTAGCTGTATCATTTGTTGTCCAGTCTCTGTGTAATGGGAAAGTGCAGGGTTTGTGTCTGGCTAGAGCAGTCCGTGAGGCTGGATCATCTCAGTTAGCCACCTTGAAACTGTTCTGAGCAGTTTGTAGTCAAAAGCTGATCTTTAGGTGGTGTTTTTCAACTTAGTGGTGTCCTGGAGGAATTGTCGTTGTGGGGCCCGATCCTCCTTTTGGAGACTTCATGGGTTGCTGTTAGATATGGTCATGGTTCACTGCAGAAAACTGATAGAGACTCAAACCAAAAATCATGTACAGGAAGGTAAATGAAACCTTTTTCTAGAATTAGTACTCTATATGACCATTACTATCATGACAAAAAGCTTAAAATGTTAATCTTATAAATTTGAGATAATATTTATACCTTAAGAAAAATTTTAAAGAGTCAAAATAAAACCAAATTAGTGGCAATAAAATAGTCCTTTAATTTTTGTTTTTCTTCTGTCCCATATCAGATTGTCTTCTGAACAACCTTGACATTGGACATTGTCCTTACGGCCTCAGGTTATTTTCTGAGCCTGGGTATCACAGGAACCTGAAGTGCGTAGGTGGACATGTTCTAATGTTAAAGCAGCATTTGCCACGGGCACTGCCAGCTCCAGGGATGTGGTCTCTGAGCCTGCATCCTCACTGAGACCTGCAAAGCCTCTAATTTCACAGACTGAAGCCAGCCTCTGACTGTCCCCTGTGCCCTCACTGCACACCCGCCCTCCCAAGGGCAAACCTTCATGGATGTGTTGACTTCTTATCCTGGACCTAGTAAAGGGTGACTTAATCCCAAAATGCACTTCGTGCAGAGCAATGGCCTTGTCCTTTGACTTGCAAACCAATTTTAATCTCCATTCTGTCTGTAAACAAAGTGATGTTACCCTCTGGTCCACTAAAAGCAATCCTCTGGCTAGAGAGGGAGAAAGCAGACAGGTGGAACCCTGCTGTTGGTAGGACATTGTCCTTATGAAGGTTACCCCAGGATCCTTACAGACCCTAGGGTAACTTGAAAGGCCATTTGAGCTACCCTGTCCTATTCAGAACTCATGTGTCAGGAGCCTGGGCAAGGCCCAGAACCCAGGGATCCGCACAAATGAGGGTCTAGCTTTGGACTTCTAGTGTCCTGTGCAGAGTGTTCCAGGCTCCTGAGTGGACAGCATCCTGTTGTCCCTTGACAGCAAGCTTCTTGGAACACTCCATGCTCTCCCACTCCATCACCCCCCACCTGTGAGCTCTTTGCTCCTTTGCACTGGGCTGGTTCTGTTAACTGACTGCTGTCCATGGCTGTGTCTTCCCTCAGATTTCTGATTCTGTGTTTGGTTCTTGAATTTGGATTCATAAACACAGCCTAAACATTGGTTAATTTATGATTGATGACCAAGAGGACTGAGTTCCCAAATCTCCTAAAGGAAAACACAGAGACCATTTACTCTTCTGTTTGTCCCTGCCCTGGGGTGGTTTCCGGGTCACCAACTGTTCCTGTCACTGGAATCTGTGTGCACAGTTGGTAGCGGTGCAACCAACCGGCAGAGCCCTTTCTTCAAGGATATGTACTAGATTAAGGTTTCAAGCTGGGGGCGCGTCTTTTTCTCCTTAAGCCGAGAGTCTCCCAGAATGATAGATTCCCACAGTCTGAGTTTGAAAACTGAGCTCTGCAAAGCAAAGGAAAACATCCCTGTTCTTTAGTTATCTGGCCAGTCTCCAGGGAAAGTGCCAGTTTCCGGAGCATCCAGCAGGTGGCGATGGCGGCAGTTGCTAAGAGGGTTTGAAGCAGAAGAACAGATTTTGCTTCAGGGTACACAGAACAGAATCTGGGGCAGAGGCTGCTAAGGGTCTCAATCCTTTCTCTCTCAGATAGGATGTGGCTTTCTTGCCTTCCGGGTCAGAATCTGTAGCTCCTGCCACACAAGGGAGGGAGGAGAATGCCGAATTGGGATTGGTGTAGAGTGGGGCGGGACCCGCTCCTTTGTCCCTCCTCCTCCTCTTTGGGAGTCTGCGTGATCTCACAGTTTGTCCAAAGGCCCCCGATCAACCCTATTAAAGCTAGTTTGAGAAGGCTACCACCAGCACTATGCCTATGATCCTGGGATACTGGAATGTCCGTGGTGTAAGCGAGGGGACTGGGATGTGAAGCAGGAAGTTCGTAACAGCGGGGCCTTTCTAGCTGCGAGGGGCTCCTCAGCACTCCTCCTCCCTCTAGAGTCTTCTGCCTGTAGTTCTCAGAGCTCAGGAGCATACACGCTAGGGAGGCTGTGTGTGTGTGTGTGTGTGTGTGTGTGTGTGTGTGTGTGTGTAGGGGTGCACATGTGCGTGTATACGCACACTGCATGGTGGCTGTATTTGTGCAGTGTGTGGTCTCTATTGGAGAAGATGAAGTCATACAGTAAGGCCCCCACAATTTCTCACCTCTGTTTCTGATCTTCTCTCTCAGCTGACACAATCCATCCGCATGCTCCTGGAATACACAGACTCAAACTATGAGGAGAAGAAATACAAAATGGGGGATGGTAATGACACTTTCCTGGTCAGTCTCCTGTTTCCCTCTTGCCCGGTGATGCCCACCAACTCATGCCTCCTAGCCCCTTATTCCTCAGACCTGCAGCCCTTCTACCATTGTAGTTTGAGCCTGTTGCTTTCAAAAACCTCTTTGAGGGCTGAGTTTGGCTTTTCATGTAGATCGCCAAGAATGGAGCATCTGGTCCATCTCTATTTATAACCTGACTGGATGCAGAATTGGGGTCCTATTGGGTCCAGGCTCCTCTTATTATCACCTGTTTATATCCCTCTCCTCCATCTTGGGCAGTGACTCTGTGGGAGGTTGCAGACACCCCCACCTGCCCACCTCAGTGGTTCTTGCTCCTGGTCCAATAGCAGGAGTAGGGTGGGCGCTGGGCTGACTTCTTTTTCTCATCCACATTACAGCTCCTGATTGTGACCAGAGCCAATGGCTGAGTGACAAGTTCAAGCTGGGCCTGGACTTTCCCAATGTAGGTGCAGGGAAGGGAGGTTTAGGGAAGGCGTGGCGTCCTCACCTCAACTCCTTGCCTGGCTGAGGGGGTTTGGGGTCAGAGCTTCAGCTCTCCTGCTCCCATTCCTGGTGGCTGTGCAGTGTGTCTGTGATGGGCTGTGTCCCGGCTCTTCCATTTGGTGTACAGTGTGTTCACAGAGGGCTCACTGAGCCAGGCACACTGAATATCAGGTCCCCTGTCTATCTTCATCCAGCCCCTACATCCCGTCTCACTGTCCCTGCTTGTCTTTCCAGCTGCCCTACTTAATTGACGGGTCCCACAAGATCACTCAGAGCAACGCCATCCTGCGCTACATTGCCCGCAAGCACAACCTGTGTGAGTGGGGCTGGCTGCAGGGTGGGGCATGGGGGACAATCTCCTTGTCTTGGCTGGTGCGAGATGCTGATGGTGAGTCTGTGCTGTGTGTGCTGCAGGCGGGGAGACAGAGGAAGAGAGGATTCGTGCCGACATTGTGGAGAACCAGGTCATGGACCACCGCATGGAGCTCATTAGGCTATGTTACAACCCTGACTTTGTGAGTTGCCCATGGTGGAGCAGACAGGGTTGGCAGCAGGATTTAAAGGCTTGCATTCAGACCTGCAGCCTTTTCCTTCAGTGAACGAACTGTTACTGATTCTCCAAGCTCTCCTCTCTTACCAGCAAAATGACCCTCATAACCCAGCGAGATAGCACATTGACACTGTGAACAGTGGATCTAAGTCCATTATGTAGTTATAAATCTCTGCCATGTCTGTCCTTCAATCAATTCCATGTGTCCTCTTACCCAGTGTTCATAAAGCCTTCAGGATAAATTAGAGGATGTGGGGATGGCCTAGCGGTTAAAATTACTTGCTGTGTATCATGAGGGCTTATTATGGATCCTTAGCACCACATAAAAACCATAACCGTAATAAAATCATAATCATAGTGGTTTGGGGGAGAAACAGGAGGATTTCTGGGGGGTTTGCTGGTCAATGAGTCCAGTCAGTCTGTGAGCTCTAGATTCAATGAGAGGCCCCATATCCTCCCCCCAAAAAAGGTGGACAGTGATTGAGAAAGACCCTTAACATCAATAAGCCCCCCCCTCAACAAGCAGCAGTGTACTCCCCAAATGATGCAAGTAGGTCATATATGCACACTGGTCTCACACATCTCCCCATAGTTCTGCCTTAGGTATCAATAGAAGTCAGAACATCTTCCTAGTGTCCGCTCAGGGTCAGCCAGAGGACCGTTTAACCTTCTTCCTTTCAGTATTAATCACTGCTCAACACTGATGCAAGCTTCTCACACGTGTGATCTGTTCTCATGACCTCCCAAACCCCAGCCTAGTATAACTGTCTTCTCTTTATGGCCTTTGTGTCTGTGGTTCCACTGGATCTCTGAGCCAGAATATGCAAGATACTCAGGAGGTCCTGGGTGTCACTCACAGCACCTGGCTTGAACTACTGATTTCAGGGACAGTGAAATTCCTGTCTGACTTTCCATCACCTCTGATGTGAATTCTGCCAGCAATAAAATAGTGATGTCTTAACTGGAAGCTCAGGCACAGACCTGGCCCGTTGTTGGGAAGGTGGCTCTTCTCTTGCACAGTTCTGGGAGCCCAAGCTCCCTGCTGGGAGCCTGAGCCTAAGGATGGTGATGGCTGTTTTCTGTCTCAGGAGAAGCAGAAGCCAGAGTTCTTGAAGACCATCCCTGAGAAGATGAAGCTCTATTCGGAGTTTCTGGGCAAGCGGCCGTGGTGTGCAGGGGACAAGGTAAAGAGAGGGAGGGAGGAGGGAAGGAGGAGGGAAGGAGGAATTATTGTTCTTCCCAGGCATCAAATTCCAGTGCACTTACCCTTGGCTTTCTGCAGATCACCTATGTGGATTTCCTCTTCTATGATATTCTTGACCAGCACCGTATATTTGAGCCGCACTCCCTGGATGCCTTCCCCAACCTGAACGACTACATGGCCCGCTTTGAGGTGATGCTCTGATCTCGCTTCCCATTCGATGTCCTATTTCCCTTCCTCTTTCCTGGATGCTTTTTGTCTTAGTTAGGATTTGTATTGCTGTGAAGAGACACTGTGACTATGGCAACTCTTGTAAGAACAACATTTGTTAGTGGCTTATAGTTTTAGAGGTTTAGACCATTATCATCATGGCGGGGGGGGGCATAATGGCTGGGAGTACGGTGGCCTTCCTGTAGACATTGTGTTGAAGAAGTAGTTGGTAATTCTCATCTTGATCTGAAGGCAGCCAGAAGTGGTCTGATACACTGGGCAGTATCTTGAGCAAAAGAAAACCTCAAAACCTACACACACAGTGACACACTGCCTCCAACACCACCTCACCTACTCCAAGCAGGCACACTTTCTAAAAGTGCCACTGCCTTTTGGAGCTATTTTTTTTTCAAACCGCTACTTTTCACTTCCTGGCCCCCAAAGGCTAGTAGCCATCTATCATAATGCAAAAAAATACCTTCAGTCTGACTTCAAAAGTCCTCATTTAAAAGTCTAAAATTCAGAGTCTCTTCTGAGAGGCATACAATCTCTTAGCTGTAATCCCCTATAAAATCAAAATCATGTTGTGCCCAGATCATGACCCCCAGAGAGAGACCAACAGAGAGGCCTAGACTGTAATAAGCAAGGTTTAATTAGCATAATACAAACATGTTTGGAACTCATCTCCATCCCCGTTACAACAAGGTAGAGAGGAGTTGTATCTCCTCTGTGGGGTAAGCTTTTAAAGGCATAACTACAAAAAGAGTCTTTGAAGATGCTTTGGCACGGGTACAAGGACTTTTGCTCCCTCCCATTCTGTTAAGTTAGCTTTTTCCTTGTTTTGAGAGCAAGGCCACTGTTCTTGAGTTAGGCCATCTTTATCAGTCTGTACCAGGTGGCTGGCTGGGCTGAGCTAAGTGACCTTGTGCTCAGAATATCCTGGGTGGGAGAGGGGAAGGCCACTATCTTCCTGGGAAAACATTCTGCTAGAAAATTTCTTCTTGCCCCTTTGAGAATAAGGGATGAGGGTCCCACAATCAGAAAACAGATCACATGTTTCCAATGTGTAATGGCAGAGGATATATATTATCATTCCAAAACACAGGGAAGGGAGCATAGTGAGGAAATACTGGACCAAAGCAAGACTGAAAACCATCTGGGTAAACTCAAAACTCTGCCTCTCCATGTCTGATATCAAAGCGCTCTTCAGATTTCCAACAAGACCACACCTGCTCCAAAAAGGCCACACTTCCTAATAGTGCCACTCCCTTTCGGGGCCATTTTCTTTCACACCACCATACCTTTCCACTCCTTAGAATGGAAATGAAGAATAGTTGGCATTTGTTGAGCACTGAACTGTGTTGAGTGCTTAGATCTGCTGTGTGAAATTTATTATCACAACCTACATGTTGTGTAGAAATATCAGCTTCACTGCACTGTTAAGAAGGCTAACAGTAGAGACTGTCTTTTCTCAGGGAACCGGGCCCATTGGAGGAGGATGTGTTTGTTTCCGTGTGTGTGCGTGTCTAGCTTCCAAGGACAGAGGATGATAGATCTCCCTGATGCCAAAGGAAAAAAGTCATGGTTGCCATGGAGCCTGGATTTTCCAGCCCTGAGGCCTATGGCGTTTCAGGACATGTCAGCAGTGTATAGCAAATGCTGTTCACAGTGGGAAATACGGCAGGACATGCGGTGCCAAGATGTGGTGTGCATGTCTGGCCTGTCCAACTCTTTGCCCGATCAGATCCCTGACTGGGGAAGCCCTGGAATCCAGGGTTACATCTGGTGCCAGGTTGCGTGGACAGGTCGCTGCTGTTGGAGGCTGTTATCGTGAATTGTTCAGTGTTTAGGTATCCCGTTTCCTTCTCTTCATCTTTCTTCTCAGCAACAGCTTGATGCTTCACTGTAAAAGGGAATTTTGCTGTCATTTTTATTCACCTTCTCTGGTGTCTCTATATGTGGCACTGTTTTTATCTCCGTGGTACTTGGAAGGATGCATCTCCACCAGCAATGCAGAGTGGCAGGTGCCCCTGACTATGAGGTACATGTGATAGCCACAAACCCCTCTTTATTAGAGATTTGGGGGCATCTAGGCTGTATCCCACTGGGAATCTTAGCATGGGATCTTTTTTTCTGTCCTCACGGCCAACAAGCGATGTGTTTTGTTAGTGTCCATGGGCTTCACTCTGGTCCAGGCTGCTGAGCTCTGGAGACTGGAAGAACTGTCTGTCCAGCACAGTGGGAGAATGTGGAATGCTGCAGTTCAAGGCCAGCGAAGCCTGGTCACTTGGGTACAGGCAGCCTGGCACTTTGAATTCTTCACAGCTTATGTAGGCTGTGTGCTGGAAAGATGTCCTTCTCTAGTGGGGCTGGGGACAATAGATGGACACACTGAGTATGCATTTTGCTGCCAGGTTTAGATTTTTCTACTTCAAGAGAGTGACCAAGGTCACCTCATTCTCTCCTTACGGGTTCACCCATCCCTGACCTCTTTAAGTTAGGATTTGCTGAAGTACTTACTAGGTCTTTGTTCTCTTCCAAACTACACTGGCATGTTACTGGTGCCTTTGCCTTTCTTGGTCTTTCTTCCATGTGGAATAACAGGCAAGAAAGAGCCTGCTAGTAAAAAAAAAAAAAAAAAAGAAAGAAAGAAAGAAAGAAAGAAAAGAAAAGAAAAGAAAAGAGGCGGGGGGGGGCGGGGGGCGGGGGGAGAGGAGTGTTTATGTAAACAGAGACTGATGAGGGATTTCCTGCTTGGGGAGCGAGCCATGAGAGCTGGAATGGAAGGTGCAGGGAAGATGCAGAGGTCCTCCTGTTCAGACAGGGTTACAGACCGCTGTCTTTCCAGCCCTGTGAGCTGGAGGGAAGCACTTGACCTCTGTGTGTGTCGGCCTCCCTGCTGTTGAAGGCAGAGCAGACGCTGTTCTGCAGGATTTTGTGGAGCTCCCGCTATGTCTGTCCCACAACTGCAGATGGACACACAGCTGGCAGCGGTGTTCTGTGTTCCGTTTCTCCTTCACTGGTGGAAGTCAAAGCTTTCCCTTACCAGCGCTGGGCACCTGGGCAGCTCGTGCTATGTTTGGGTTTTTAGAGTAAAACCTGTGCACCCAGTGGGGCCACAGATTCTGAATTTCTGCCTTCTCCTCCCCTACAGGGCCTGAAAAAGATATCTGACTACATGAAAAGCAGCCGCTTTATCTACAAACCATTCTATGTATCGCTGGCCTTTTGGAACCCAAAATAGGACTGCAAAACCCAGACCTCTGGGAATATTCATGACCACCCTGTTGGCTCTGCTCTTGGCCAAGGCAGTGTGTCCCCACCAAATATTGTTTCCTACTCCTTTCTACTCCTGATTCCTCCATTTTTTCTTATAAGCCCTTCAGTCTCCTGCTCCTATTCCTTTGCCCTGCCCTGCATCCAGCCCTTCCTCCTTGCTGCTTGGAGGAATGTTACCAGACCCTAGAATCCCCAGAAAGGCCTGAGAGATCAGATCTTCCTGTGTGCTGGCCCTGGTCCTCAGAGTGAGCAACTGAGCCCTGTCTCATCCCCAGTAAAGTTTGAATAACATTTGTTCTGTGTCTTGTTTTGCTGACTGTGACTGACTCTCAGAACCAACTGTGTTGACTTTTGGGTGGTCTCTGTTTCTGTTCTGTTCATCAGCCTTTCTAAGCTGAACACACAACACTCGTTTGTGTTCTTAGCATTCCTGTCCATAAACATCCCCGACTGCCTGCAACTGATGTAGGAGTCTTTCCCTCAACCCAAGCCAAAGGGAACTGAAGAATTACTCTTAGGCTATTGATTGGCAGTGCTTACTCTGGAGTGCATTCCCACTGTTTAACCTGTACTGAAATTTACATGGTAGAAGCAGCAGGATAGTCACACCTTTGTGCCCAGTGCAGCTGATTGCAAGGGGCTGTAGGAATGTACAACAGTGACTAGTACTTAGCAAGTCGACCCACCAGACGTAAAACTCCCTGTTGGGAAGCCCCATTTGGCAAAGCTGTGAACATAAGTGCCTAGCTGAGAAGAGGATTCTCATAAATCAGGCATGGAAAAATGAGCCCCTGAGGAGGAAGACGGGTTGGCAGAGGAGGCAATAGACTATCATATTCCCGAACGCCTTCCCCTTCAGTGCTTAATCATGCATCCCAAATGGACCCCTGAGAAACGTAAAGAGTACCAAAGGGGACCTCTGAGTTTCGCTGACGTTGTAGGTCGGAATCAAGGACAGACCACAGCAGGCAGATTTTACTCGTTCCTTTCACAGGAAAACTCCACCGCTACTTCATTCAGGTTCTGTGAAAAAGGCTGCACAATACTGTAATCTTAGTTGGCTTCATCTGCTCTGCCTACTTGTAAATAACTCTATACAACCCCTGGAGAACGTAAATAGAAATTAATGGAATTTGCTATGCTCTCACAGCCCCTGGCGGCTCTGATCGCTCGGCAAACAGAGTTTTCATTGTAATGATTCACTAGACACGAAAGAGTTAACTTCCAAACTGCTGTGAAGCTCAGAGCGGGAAGAGTGGTTTATTTTCCTAACAGAGCTTGCTTGCACTGAAGAGTTCCTCTCGCTAAATTACAACACCATTCCAGACTTGTTTCTCCAACTGCCTTCTCCCTTATTACTCTAAAAACGTCTCTTTCTCTTTCTCTCTCTTTCTGAGTAAACGTAGCTAACGGAGCTTTCTGTTTACAAAAAGTCATGAGTAGGTGAGAAAGCTCCTATCTGGTCTCTGCGTCTCTGCGGTTTCTCCCCGCTTCGGTTTGCTGTCTCCCGCGCCAGCGTCTCCGCCCCACCCCTCGTTCTCTGCTCTTGTGGTTTCTTTCCCTGGCTGTCCCAGCTCGCTCTGATCCCAGCAGCCTGCCAAAACTGTCTGCTCTATATCCCTGATACCATGCTGAAATTTTACCCATCCACAACAGGCTGTTTCATTTGAAAGTTTATTTTTCTTCTTAAAATGTCCGTCTACTCCGTAGGTATGGATGAAAATGTGGTCACAGTGCTAGTCTAGTCTTCTGACGGGTTTTGAATGTCTGAATTTGAGTGTTCTGTGTGTTTCGCTGGCAGCTCAGATGTACACACCGTTGACTGTCTCCTGTGTCTGCACGTTCCAATTCTCATTTATCCCTGAGAATCTTTCCTCTTATTATTTTGGTTTCTTTACAATGTTTATTTTATTTCACGATGCACTCGCTATAAAAAGATTTATAAGATTGCCGGTCTCCCTATATATTGTTTTTTTGACTAAAAGCTTTTATTTCAATGCTAAAAGAACTTCAGTTCAAAATTATTATTTTTAGGCTAAATCTAACAGGGACAAACGAAAGTCTAAAGTCATAAAGCACTAGCTTATATTATAAACTGCTAAAAATAAATTTACTTTAATTGTGAACTGTTGAGGATGATTAGGAATGTAGGGTGATGAGTGGTCACCCTGCTACTAGTTTAAACTATAGACTGTAACAGATAACTTTTACTTAAATTATATACGGTTAAAAGATATATATATATATATATATCTTTTATATATAAGAATATAAATGAATGGTTGATCATCTTATATTGATCGAATTCACTATACATTCAAAACTATATTTCTAAACATGTTAAGTAATATAAACAATTCCTTACTTAACTCCCCTGGAATTTGAAATATTTAAGTTTCTCACTATAGACAAAACTGTGCCATGCCTCTTGCTTGCTGCCAGGGCTTTGGTTTTACACTTTCGGGTCCTTTAGATTATATTTCCAATTTCCAGGCCTAAAAATAATTTGCCTTACTACCACATTCCAAATAGAGGACACTTCAACAAACAGGTTTCAGAGTAGCTTTTTACTGAAAGAATGAAACATGTTTCAGGCTTCTTTCTCTTGCTATTTTGCTGTTACACCGAGACTCCAGAGGTTCATAGTTTTGACATCAATAAAATCCACTAATCTGGCTCTGATAAATACCACCACTATTATAATAACCACAAATAGTAATAATTATTGTCTCTTTAAGAAGGTACTTATAAGCTCCGAAGATCGAATTGAATTCACCAATGCTCACAGGTGGAGACAGATTTGAGAAAAGTACCACAGTTTGTTTCCCCACCAACCTATTTCTTTAAAGGGGTCTCTCTCTCTCTCTCTCTCTCTCTCTCTCTCTTTCTCTCTCTCTCCCTCCTTCCCCGAGCCCCCACCCCGAATATTGGAACCTCTCTTTCTCATCTGCTAGGACCTTGCACTTAGAAATTCCAAAAGTAGGAGGTAGCCGGAAGTTGTCCAAGTTGTTGTGTGTGCAAACCCTTGGGTTCCATTTTGGAGAGAGCACAGGTCAGCTGGCAGCCCCTGGCAAGCAGTGTTTGAGGTCAGAGAGAGATTGCTGCTGTGGCCCACACCAGGTAAGGGGGGAGAGAGAGAGAGAGAGAGAGAGAGAGAGAGAGAGAGAGAGAGAGA